GACAGATTTTAGTCCTCGGTCCTTGCATGCCTGTTGGCCCTTCCACACATTTTGTTGGGGCAAGATTTTGTAGTCTTGGGGCAAGGAAAGGCACCTCAACAAGCCTCTTGTCTCTTTGGAGGTGAGCAAGAGATGCTACCAGCTGAGAGGAGAAGCTGCATCTGTGCCTTTGAGGGATCACAAGATTCCAGTTTAAGGTGTCCCTGCCAGTCTCCATCTGCTTACACCACAGCCAGGGAAACTGAGCTGGCTTTAAACACAGGGACAAACATGCATATGTACAGATATACAGATGATATATTCCTGTGCCTTTTCACAGTTCTAAAGGCAGTTGCTGGCATGGCCAAAGGAGGATGTGGTGTAACCTGCACAGCACAGCAATGTGGGATGGGGTGCTTTTACAGGGCACTAGCCCTGGAAGCTTTGCTTTTTGGCACCATGCTGTAACAAAAACACAAAAGGACTTGGCTGTAACTGCCTTGTGGTGCCATGGTGTTCCACAGTGGTATAAGAGGCATCTGTGGTCCAAAGCAATTTAGACTAACCTGAGAGTCAGGTATAGCTATTGCCAGGCTGGTGTCACTGGAGTCAGTGCTATCAGGAGCTCTGTCAGGGCTACTCACTGCCTCATTTTTACACGCTGCAACTTGAGCGTATGTGCCAGGAGTAGCACTGTCAGCACGTATCTAAGCAGTGACTTGGGCAATGGAGTCTGCTTCTCAAACATGACTATGAATTTGTCTCTCAGAAAAGGTTGTACTGCTTTGAACAACAAAGAGGAGTTAAATCAGTACAGTCCTCAATTTCCCATCCCCTTTCTCACACAGAAGTCACACTTATAGCAATGGAAAATTTTTCTCTTATTTTCAGAAGCAATACACTCGATTCAAAATAAGACAGTATATGATGATATGTGAGGATGACATGACTTGGACATAAAGAATGTTCAGGCAAATAAGTGTCATTACCAAGATTTTTGCATTTCTATTTTGACTGATGTGGATTTCTGAAATAGGAAAGCTATGTAAAGTGCCTATGTAAACTGTACAAGTATCTTTATATCAAAATGCCTGCAGCTTTAGGAAATGCACAAGTATTGCTATTTTAATTTAAAAACAAATGAAAGCAAAACAAAACAAACCTTTTATCAAAATCATTATACTGGTGCAAATCCTATTCATAGAGCCAGACCATAGAATCTCAAAGAAGATTATCCTAGATGAACAAATTTGCAAGAATGTAAATAAAATGGATATGGCATTTCTCATTCTAACACCACAGACTGAATTTAATAGCTATTCCTAAACAGCCAAGGATTTGGGATTTTTACCACAAGAAATGTTAACCTGGCTAAATCTTGGAAAAAGGATTTGCCTGAGAACATGGAGTGAAAGCTAGTCTTACTGCTAATGATAAGAAAAGCAGCATGACTGATGCATACTAGGGCCATAAAATACAATTTATTTTCAGAAACTAATTTGGTAAGGGAAAAAGAATCATAATGCTAAACGTGCAATGGGGGTCACTTCCACAGCACCTCCGTGTACCAGCCCTCACGGATTTCTTTGTGTGCCCTCAAGACCAAAAACTCAGTTGCATGGTAATGTCCATGTATCCTTCCATGATCTTGGAATTTACTGTCTCTTACTGTGCTTTGTTCCTGAAGAGTTGATCCTGTCCCTCAGTCTGGAAGAGAGTCATCTCTGTTGAGGCTCAGTAATGTCAACACATCCATCAAGTCATAATGAAGTGACTATTTGTATCTGCTCAAACAATGGAAGACAAAAATAAAACTAGTAATACAAATGAAGCATAGAAGCAAGCACTAAATGAGTCAGTTAAGTTGTGCTAGAGAAAGATAAAGGGAAGGAAAAGACAACAGCGGAGAAACAGTAGGATGAGTTAATGATAACTGGGCACTGGAAACTAATGAGTAGTTTGCAATAAAAAGAGAAAAGAAAAAATATTACTATGAACAAGGTCTCCTTAATAAAAGTCAATGATTACTGCAAACATCTGAGATATTGCTGCACGCTGCTGAAACCAGAAAACAGGTACACAAAAGAAGGAATGAAAACCTTGGCTTTGGGAAACCTTTGGGAAAAAGGCTTCAACATCCTTTATGGACATATGAAAAAAACCCCTAGCCTAGCTGTTGAGCAAGTACATGTAGAAAGACACTGGGAGTCCTATGGCTGTAAAAGAGGCCCAAGTGGCAGAGACTCAGTGGAAGCTGGTATGGAGATGCACTGCTGTGGACAGAAAATTACAAGTCCCAATGAAAGGGTAGTTTGCCTCTTTTATTTCAGGGTTCACTCTGTTTTCAGAGACAAACTTTAGACCAGAAAATACAAGCATCTAAAGCCAGATTTTTCAGGTCACTATGAGGAGAAGGAACATACTCATCCTGTTTTCTCATTCTGGTTTTCTCATCCTGCTGCAGTCCCCCAACATGCCACTCACCCTCCCTTCCTGGGAGAGCCCCAAGGCCATGGTACCTTTTGCCTGTATTAGTGTTGCTGATACAGGCAACACTAAGTTGTAACAAGTTCCCCGAACAAAAAGTTAGGAGAATTCTGGATAGGGTGTTGATGACAGGTGGCTCTGTTGGATTGTAAATCCTGCCTTTAACTAATGGTTCCTCCATGGATATAAGCTAAGCAGTAGTTTCTAGGTGAGAGTGAAGGAAACTAACTGGGAGCTTGTTCAAGAGATAATGGACTTCCTTTCCGCGCTGTGCAGATCTAAAGGGGAGATGGAGAAGTTTTCCTCTTACTTTTTCAGAACCACAGTCCTGCAACCATGGGCATGCTGCTTATAACCAGGAGTAATTGGCTGAAACTGAACAAATGAAAATATAAGCTAAATATCTTCCTGACCATGGGACGTTCTGGACTGTGAAGTAGACTCCAAAAGTGGTGGAAGCCCCATCACCTGAGGCATTTAAAATGAAAGAGCAATTATGCACTTGTTGTAAATCCTCTCTCAGCAGGGGAGCAGAGTAGATGACCTAACAGGACTTTTCTGCCTTGAATTTCTATATTAGCATAAGGAATCACAAAAACTCCCAACTTGCCATGAGACAGAGAATAGTAACTCAGCCCTTCATAGTGGTAATTGTGCAAGTAAAAAGGCAAAATGTCATGGTGATGAAGCAGAAAGGATAAGAAGGGAGAAAGACAGACATTGTATTGTACCCCTGTATTAGGCATTGGTGAGGTTGCACCTTGAGTTTTGGGCCCCTCACTTTAAAAAGGACATTGAGGTGCTAAAGCATGTCCAGAGAAGGGCCTAGAAGGGTGTAGAAAACATGTCTTATGAGGAATGGGTGAGGGAGCTGTGTTTGTAGTCTTGGGAAGAGGAGGCTCCAGAGGTCCTTCTCATTGCTCTCTACAACATCAAGGGAGGCTGTAGTGAGGTGGGGGCCAGTCTCCTCTACCATACCTACAGTGAGAGGACTAGAGGAAATGGCCTTAAACTGAGACAGGGGAGATTCAGATTGGGTAACAGAAAAAATTTTTTCACTGTTAGGGCGGTCAGCCATCAGGACTGCTCAGGGAGAGGTGGAGTCACAATTCCTGAAGGTGTTCAAAGGTGTCTCGATCTGGCACTGGGTAATGTGATTTACTCTAACCCAGTAGTGCTAGGTTGATTATGGGACTGGATGATCTCAGAAGTCTCTTTCCACCTTGATGATTCTATGATTCTCAATAGCAACAGCTCTTCTCCAGCCGTTCGGCCACACTGAGGGAAGACACGCAAATAAGAATCCTTCATTACTGAGTTGGTCCTATGTTAAAAAAGGGTCATTGGTTGCTCCCTCTTCCTCATTTTCAGGGACTGGCCAAAATGAAGGTGTAAGAGATTACAAGGAGTTGGTCCAGGTTTGCAAAATGGACTAAGGGGTGCCTACTGGGAGGCCTCAGCAGTCTCGCCTCTTGGCCACGCAGGTGAAGCAGCACTGCATTTGATGCCAGCATGCCACGCTTAAGCAGGCGTCTTGTAATGTGAGCTAAAGTTTGCTTTGAAATACCGAGGCTGGATTCCTTCTCGTTCGCTATTTTCAGTAGCGCCAAATCACTTAATAGGAGTCTGTTCTATCCCAATGCACAGCATCCTTACAGCAGACTCCCGAGGCAGTTCTGCCTCGCAGTGCGATGGGTACAAAGCAGTCATCTGCTCCCAGGCACGTTCGGGACTTGCAATACAGGGGGTACATCCAAAAACCAGCCAGGACACCAAAAACTGCCTGTAAAATCACAGAGAGATTTAGACGAAGATATGGCCGAGGTATTTTTCACCTTTCCCCCCACCCTTTTCACTCTCGTCACGAGGGCTGGGGCTGTACTGTCCAGAAGCCAGAGGGTGATGGAAAACAGCGTTAACACCGACACGGCTGGAAATCACACACGCTCCTACGTGTCCCACACGCGGCGGGTGATACACCACCTCCCCGAAACCCTGAGCCGGTGCGACCGCGCCGGGGTCTGAACGCGGGCAGCGCCGCGGGGCCGGGCCGAGCGCAGGGCTGGGGAAACGGGGTGGCGGCGCCTCCGCGGACTTCCCGTGCCCCGCCGTGACCCGCGCCGCATTTCCTGGCCGGGGCTCTTAAAGCGGCGGCCCTGGAGGCGAAACAAGGTTCATTGTGCTGCCGCAGGTCCGCCCGTGGCCACATCCACTGCCCGCCCCGGCACCAGCGGGCGGTGCCTAAAGGCCCCACGCGAGCTCTCGCGGGGGCGGCGGCACCGCGTGGAGCCAAACGGCACTTTGTATAAAGCGACGCGACCCCGACTGCGGCCTTCCAGCCTCCCCTCCGCTTTGGCCGGCGCTCTTGGGTGCCGATGCGGGCCGGCCAAAACGAGCCGCGCTCCCGCTCCGCCCGCGCGGCACCGGTACCGCCGCCGGCGCGCCCTGGCCCGTCCCCGCCGGCCGCGGCCGTTCCCGCCGGCCGCGGCCCCTTTAAGGGGCGGCGCGGGTGCCGGGAACCCACGTCAGTTTCGGCCCCGAAACTCCGGATCAATGAGCGGTGGCGCGGGGCGGGGCGTAACGCCCGGCCCCCGCTGCCGCCTTTCGGTTTCTCTCTTTTCCAGGAAGGAAAACACCGGCGAGGATCGGGGCCGCGCCCTCCCCCACCTTCCGCGCCCCCTCCCTCTTCCCCCGCCCCCATCGCCTCTCACGCGGAGCTGCGCGGGCAGAGAGCGCGCAGGGCAGGCGCGCGCGAAGCCGTCGGCGTGCGGGGGGGGCGGCGGCGGCGGCGGCGGCGGCGGATCGAGGAGGGGACCCGGCACCGGGGACCGGCGGGGTGACCCCCCCAGCCCCGGCAGCGCCGCGCCCGCCCCCGGCCGCGCTGCCGGCGGTAACTTCCCCTTGAGGGGACGGGCCGGGTGGGGCCGCGCCGCCGGGCCGGGAGAGGAGCGTAAAGTGGGGAAAGCCCGAGAACTTCCCGTCTGCCCGTCTGCGCCTGCCCCACCGGGCTCCGCAGAGTCCCTCCTGAGAGATGTCCGACGCTCCTGCTCAGTGTTGCATCAAGGTAAAGCCCCGTCCCTCTGTCCGGCCCCTGTCAGCGCGGGTCGCATCCTCCGGCGCCTCGGGGCGGTGGATTTCGCTGTGTTTTGCCCAGGGTTATTTTGATGAAAATAACTGTTTTTCTCTCTCCCGTTTTACGCCGCGCGAAGTGCGGACCCGGGAGGTCGCGCCCCCCACCGTGTTCGCGGGGTGCGGCAGCGCGGAGCGGGGCGCTCCCCGCGCTGGCTCCCGCCGCGGGCGGGGGAATGGGGCTCCCGGCGGCTGTCAGTGCCCTGCGCAGCCCCAGGGGACACGGCAGCCGCGACCCGGGTTTGGTGGTGGCGTGGTTCTTCACGGCAGGGAGCTTTAAAGGGAGCCCCAGAGCCCGGCCCGGCCTCCCCCGGGGCCAGCTACCCGCCGTTCCCGCCAGCAACTTCGTAGAAAGTTTTCTGCCGTCCGGGAGATGCAACCGCTGCTGCTTCCACCAGCAGTGAGTTGTAGGTTTGGGTTTTTTTTGTTTTGTTTTGTTTTTTTTTATTTTAATTTTTTTTTTATATCCTCATTAGTATGATTTATTTTTAGGCGCTGCAATTACTGGCATCGCTTGCCGGCTGGCAGGTAGGGGAGCTAGGACTGCGCAGCCCGGCCCTCTCTACCAGGGACTGGGGAATGTGTTTCTCCGTGCCTTGGCCTGTTGAAAAGGAGGTTACCCCGTGAAGTTTATTGTTTAAAGTGGAGGTAGCATGAAGCTGAGACAATGGAAGCAAAACTGAGTTTCCATTTTTGTCCAGACCCTTCCTATCTAGCAGCCCATTAGAAACAGTGCTTTCCTCTCTCCTTTGCCCCTCAGTTTTGTGTTTTGTTTAGGAGACACTTTGCCTTATTGCAAGCCAGGAGTCTACCTTCTGCTCCTGACTAATTCTGCCCGAGTAAGAGATCTTGCGTGGTTGTCTCTCCCACTCTGGAAGGAAGAGGTGATTTCCAGACTCTCTCTTAAGGAGAAGAGCCTAGCATAAACACTTATTCAGCATGATGTTCTTTTCTTTGCTTGTCCCGTGTGTGTTCGGGGGAGTCTTGTGTTCTATACGGTATGAACACAATTTGAAAGCTTCTGGGTGTATTTTCTCTTGCTGAGTTAAATGCAGTCAGGCCTGTATCCCGTGAAGTCTCGTGGCTTAGAGTCTAGTTTGACTTTTCATAGCACAGACACACAAATTGGATAATGGGGTATTGTATGCGCATTACAGTATTGGTGAAATGCTAATGCAGACAAAACGTGTGCAATTGACTCATTGAATTCCTATATATATAAAATTAAATATAACTACTGCTTGTCTTTTTTTAGTAAACCCTATGGGAAGGTAGGATGTGTTCTCTGGACAGAAGAACACAAATGAATGTCATGAAAAAGTAGTGTCATATTAGTTGTATTTCCTTGTTTTTTCACCGTGTCATTTTGAAAATACAAGGCTTACTTCTGCTCTTACTGAAGTCAGGAGAAATTCTACTGTTGATTTCAGGAACTGTAAAGCTGGTTCTTCCCTAGCCGCAGTAAGGTACATTATAGAATCATACTGTAAGGAATCAGCTACCTAGCAGGAGAGATACAAGCAAACTTCTGCTTCAGTCTTGTAATGAATAAATGCCAAATTTTCATTACATTTAGACAGACATTGGAAAACTTTTTTTTAAGTGACTAATTCTAAACGTTATGATCTGAACTTACTTTAATTTTTTAATGTATAGTTTGTTTATGTGCAGTTTCCATGCAGACCCTTACAATTATCTTGTCAGAGGACAAAAACTGCTGTTACTGGCTTCTCTGGTGGTTATTTTGATGATTTCAAATACAGAAAGTACAACTTTTCAGACAGAAATGTGAACTTCAAATGAAAGCTTTTCTTCACGAGTCAAACCATTCCGGGTAACTTTCACTTCAGCTTTTCATTGTTTTTTTGACTCTTCTTTCAACCAAGCAGTGTTCGAGGTGATTGTACTCAGCAGCTGGCTTTAAGAGGAGCCGTTTAACTGGTAGTGTGATTATATGAGTACAATTGATAGTTTTTTCAGTGTTCCAGTCTGGTTGGTGGTATGGAGCTTGATATCCCCACTGTACCCCAACTTCGCTGCTAAGCTGCTGTGTTGTTCTGAAAAGTAGGCAAGTACTGTGCTACAAGGGTGTCAGGAAGTTTCATTAGGAGCCTGTGAACTGGAAGCAGTGGTGCTGGTGAGTGTGTTGTTTTGTTGTTCTTCTGCTTGGGTTTTTTCTCCTCTTCCTCCTTGGGTGTGGGACAAGGGTGCACGCAGTAAATGCCGTAATACCTGTGGTGATGAACCATGGAAAGCTTCAGCAAAGAGTTAAGGCTAGTGCTTTGCTTATACCCCAGCTGCTTACTGACTCCTTCTCTGAGAAATGAAAAATACAGTGCTAATATCCAGACCTTGCCAGCACTTGGATGTGTGCTTGCCTGGTGGATGGCAAGCAGTCCCGCTGTGCTGTTGTAGCACAGAAATTAAGCGTGTGTGTAGAGTCTAAAGCTGCAGAGAGAAGTTATCACTGGGGTTTAAAAAATAAAACCTTGGGGGTCAGAGATGAGAATGAAGTGTTTGCTATAGCTTAGAACATCAGTATACTCTCCACGTGAATTGGTAGGCTTTGGGGTTGTGTCAGTCTCCAGTCCGAGAGGGTCTGAAGCTTTGACTCTGCGGTGGGTTGGGAAGGGGTGTTTGGTATGGTTGTCATATTCAGACACTTTTTTTTCCCCAGTTGTTGGAATATCTGTGTTGGTAGCAAACCTGTTCCTCTGATCCTGAGCCATAGTAGTTAACTGATTATATTATTGTAAACACTACCACAATGTTGGCACTCATTACAGTATTGGCAAAGTGATCCTTTCGGCCTCACCTCTCCTCCCACAGATGGGAGAACTGAGGCACTAGGAGAGTGTAAACATTTTGCAAAGGCTTTCATGAGAGCAAAAGCTCAACAGGAGACAGTATTAGGAGTTTAGACACAGTTGATGATTTTTGTGGTTAAGGTCCAGTTGATGGTAAATTCTGTTTAAAACCTCACCTGGAGCTTTCTAATTATCAGGATCTCCTTATTTTTTGCCTGAAATTATTATAGCTTGAGAATATAGCCATGGTGTCATGCAGAGACTCAAAATTCAGTAGGCAAATGGAAGGGTCCCAAAGAACACAGTTTATTTTCCTTTTTATAGATATGAGTTGTTTTGTTTGATTTACCATGTGACCATACAAACAGTTGTGCTGGCACAAGTGTGGAGTCGTGGGGAAACTAAAACTGGAGATATGGGGGGAGATCGGCTGCTTCAGGTCTCCCAGACCAGGGCTTCTCTGAGCCCAGGCTCCCTTGTGTGCCACCTGGCTGATGCTTGAGCTGCGAGTACTTTCTGTGGGCAGCAGTGAAGGCACAAAGCCTTACTGTGATTCAGATTTCACAACTGGTTTCAGTGGAGGTTTTTTTCTAGATGCACGCTGGGGGATATAGGCACTTTCTCTTGTGTTGACCTGTATGTGGTGCAGGTATGCAGGAGTCAGCACAGTAAACCTGTAGCTCCAGGACTTGTCTCATGGGTGCTCATTTTGGATTGGAGGATGTACTTTGTAATCGTTTAAAATAAGAGAGAGGAAAAACAGAAAAGCCAAAGGGCAAACAATCAGCAGAGTGTCTGAGCTTTCAATCTTAGCTGGCTTCCCCAGATTTACTTAATTTTTTGCTAATGGGTTATGTCTCCTAATACTTCATTGATGCTGTTTTTGCAAAGAGCCCTCTCCCACTGAAGACTTCCCATGATGAAGGACTGTTCAGCATCACACAACCAGAATCCCGTTACCCTTAGCCAAGGCTGAGTATCTGTTAGTGCAGAGTATATGACTTAATGTTTACTAGTTAACTTGTTTACTAGGAGGAGGATCCTTCTAGTACTGTCAATGGCAAAACTCATTAAGTTCAGTGGGTGTAGGATTGCATGGTAGAAGACCAGAGTTTAGAAGTACATACTATTTAACACCTGATAAATCACTTAATTTCTTGGCACCACCTAAATTGAATCCCTCTGAAGCAAAATTTTACTAGCACTGCCCCAATTAAACACCAGTCTTTAGTATTCAATGTGTCACTGCAGGTGAGGGCGGTTTCCTGAGAGGCAACCCATTAAAACAGCATCTTGAATCTGAAATGCCCCAATGAAACAGAGTATACTTTAGTGATAATTTATATGCTTATTGCACCATGTATCCCAAAGTGTCTTTTGGAGGGAGGTGGCTAAGTGGTGCTCTGCTGATAGAAATGATGATAAGCAGGAGATGAAATCTACACATAAGTGACGTTTCTGCCTTTTAGAAAAGTTATCTGGGTTCTTGAGTATGTGTCTTCTGAAGTCTTCTGATTAAAGCTTTCCTAATAAAGTGCTTACTGTGGGAAAGGGCTCTCCCTAAGGCAGCCTGTGTTTTTAGCCAGTCATGTAGTTCTGACCTACAGTCCAAAAATTGGATAATTTGTGTTTGGATTTTTTTGCATGTGCTTGTTGTGGAATATTTGTAGTTCACTGCCTTGAGCGGGGCATCCCCGAAGAACCAGCAACTCAAAATCCAGGGCTCCTGAAAATGATCACTTTGGCTGTATCTGTGAAACAAAATAATAATGAACTTACCTATGCAGGGCAGTGGCAAGACTTAGCACTTGTAATGCAGCATGGAAATTGTGTTTATTAGAGAAATCAATGATAGAGTGATCTGATTTGTTCCTGGCTTTTTAGTTCACACAGCATTTGGGAGCAGGGGAGTGGTGGTGGTTGGTTGTCTGTTGGCTTTTTTGGTGTGGACCACCTACCTCTGCTGAGCAGTCAGAGAGAGCAAGATCTTATGGCTTCACTGTGTCCTCCTGTTTGTATCAGCCCCACGTGGGTAAGCTGGCATTTCTGTGCCTGCAGCCTGCATTGAAGGTGGCTTTCAGAGAGGCTGGCACATGTTGCAGGCATAGCTGTTCTGCCACAATCCTGT